GCAGGTGGGCATAGGAAAGAGAGCAATGCTACTCAGCCATGTCTTAGTCCGACTTTATGCTGCAGCCTGGAGATATATACTGCGCCCTCTCTCTTATGGATCCATCATCAGTACCGTCGGCGCAGTGCTTTTGTGCGCCAGATACTGGATGAGCAAGTCGTCATCCACCGAGTCCACGGGTGTGGGTAATCTTCACGTTTTTACTCAGTATCTTAGCAGTGGTTCTTGTCGTGCCTGGTAGTGCCTTCCCTAACATGTTGTGATGACAGTCTTCGCGGGCAGTGCCCCGTCGCACCTTCCAACCGCATACCTCACCTTTGCTGGCACCTCACATTCTCTCAAGCCTCACTCTCTACTTCACCATATCCACTCCTGATCACGTCAGTCACATGGCGCTGAAACCGCAACAGACGACGCGGCTACCTCCTCTGGAGTTCTTCAAGCGTATGCAATTTGGACTTCCCCATGCAAAGACGACCACGAAGACAGCAGTGCCTACACTCTGCTGATCGGCTGTGAACCAGAAGATAACTTCACCTTCTACGGAAAGAAAGAACCAGAAGTTGGATAAATGAAATTGAGGCCGGCAAAGAGGGCGGGAAAGAAAAAGAGGGAGAGGTTGCTTCTTCCGCTCTGAGCTGCATTGTGGTGTCGTCGGGGCGAGGATATGGTTCAAGAGCGCCGGGTATTCGATGTATCCGTTCCGGACGTGCCCTTGCACTGTCTTCGTCGCATCTGCTGCGTGGAAATACGCGTACATACAATTTGCGCTTTGGGTGAATGTACGTTCGTCGGGCGCATCGTTTTCTGAAAGATTGCTCAGAAACAGGGTACGTCGGCGTCGGCGTTGGCGCGTGATGACGTTTGAAGGTCCTATTTAACCGTCAGCATAGGTAATCAACCCTGCTCACACTCCACCATGTTGGAATGGTGTTCTTTTCCACTTACTCCTATCACCCCATACTAGAGAAAAAATAAATTAGTTCGCAGACTACGTTGAGTTAAAAATTTGCAGAATAGGTGGCCTAACATCAACGTAGGCTCCAGGGTGTTCAGTCTTTTCTTAGGGTCCAAGGTTAACGTGCTACCATGCCCTTTGATCAAGTCGAGTTCATCACGCTTCTGACAGACTACTACGAGTTCTGCAATCGAGTATTCTGGGATGACTCGGTCGTCACCAAAGCGCCCAAAGATGGCTGGCCATCCATCACACAATCCACCATGGCCAACCTGAACAAGACTGACGCAGTCATCGACTTGCTCCGCCACATGCCTTTTGTAGACTTTGTTGAGCCAAACAAAGCCTACGGCAAGCATGTCATCATGAAGAACACTCGCATTCAGGATTACCGCAGCGATGCGATACAGAAACGGATCCGCGACGGGGATCTCGAATACTACGTCGAACCTATAGGCGATCCCTTACCGCCGTCATGTATCTCTTTCGGGAACAGCAACGGGCGTAATGGATACAATGTCGTCATCAACACGGCTGATGGCTACGTCTACTGGGGGGAACCTTGCGGTCTGCCCGACGAGCCAGCGCGAGAGCTCAATGCCGTGGTGCAAGAGCGCTACGCTGGGGACGAGAACGAGCGTTGGCGACAGGGATTCAACATATATCGCCCACGCGAGTTTTTTGCGCTCTGCAAACAACGGTTCCGCGAGCTGCGCTGGATCGGTCTCCAGACGGATATCATCGAGGCGGTACCGATGTACTGGGAGCTTGATGACGCGGACGACGAGTTCAAGTCGCTTGTGCGCAAGATGAGAAGAGCCAGGTGGCCGGGAGACGGGCAAGGACGGGACTGGGACCGAGAGGCATTTCAGGCGGCGCTCGATGTGTATAGCGATGAAGAGGACGGGGATGTCGTACAGGCGGCGACAGAAGCGCTAGACGATACTCACGTTCGCTAGATATTTGGCGTTAGTATGGAAGGGTGAAAGGACTGTGCAAGCCAAGATTGTCCGCGCACTTCGTCCGGAGATCCAGCTGCTCTTAACGCTACACGGCGCGACATCGGGAGTTACGACAGACCCCAATAAGCACAATGGGACGCAACTGCGACTGTACAGCTGGCTCATCATCTTGCAGCTAACATTCCGGCTTAGCAGAAGAAAGAGTGTAGCTCGTTGTAACGCGTTTGTGTGGTTCCGAGATCTGCCTTGCGATGCGACATGCACGGTTGACGAAGCTCACGACGCCCTGGTCGGTCTTCAGTCGCACCTGCACGCTCTTGTCAGCACACACTCGATATCCAGAATCCCTTTCGAAATGCAAAGAATTCGGGCGGTAGATCAGAGAGGTTTCTATGCGTCATGGCTGGACGTGGAGTTCATCGGGAGCAGATGAAGAAGCAGTTGAGGTAGTAGCAGCCTCGATGAGAAGTAAGAAAGGTGTGTCGCGAGAAAAGTAGGAAAAACGCGCAGCTCTTGCATACGGCCAAGAATTGTAGGTATGAACAGGGTCCTTCACCTAGGCCTACGATAGAGCGCATACTAGGTGTTACTCCGATATAGTACACGCTGAAGCATTACTTTACCCTCTTGATTGCATACTACGAGATACAATACAGCTTATAAGCTCATGATAGACATTAGCTAGAGAAGCGCCTGAGGATGAAGTCGCCAGGGTAGTTCCTCGATGTCTTCTCCATCTCAACGCGCGCTGCACCTACTAGATTGCTGCCCGAACTATCTGGAACATTTCCGCGCGTGTGGATATACCAAGGCCAGAAATAACAATCTTCCATCGGCATACCTTCTTCAAAATCACTAGTGTCAAAGGATTGGACTAGGAGGAGTCTCGGGACTGTACCACACTGCGACATGTGACTGAAGATCTGATCGCCGAAGTGTTTCATGGCAGCCTCGCACGACGCACCGAAGCTGCGTTCCTCCATCAAAGGCGTCTCTTCAAATGTCTCCGAATCATAAGAAAATGTGATATCAGGCTCGCTCAGTATTTCCATGGTATGAAGACTGGGATGTGCGGCACATTGTTCCTACGATGCCAATCAATAAAGATACCAATACAAAAAGGACATTACTTACTAGTACATCTTTGAAAGCGGCACAATCCTACTCATTTGCGTTGAATTGAAATCCGTCCCCGACCTGTGTGATATATCCGCGATCGCTAGGTGGCAGATTGATGGCCAGTCCTCTGAGCTTTGTGCACGCCCTCAAAATTACCCCTACTTCGTCTTCCGAGTAGTAGTCCGACTGAGAATCCGTACTTTCGTTTCGGGATTTTTTGATGACGAGGTTACGGAGCGTTTCAGCGTGAGGCAGAAGACAACTTTTGTCGACAAGTTTGCCATTGCGAAGATTTAAGTCGAGATTCTCAAGTCCAGGGCAGACTTTGAGAAAGTTTTCAATGGATTCTGTGGTCTTGACCTGTACATCGTGTTCACCATCGTCATGGTAGGGATCAGGACCAGGTAGATCGATGCACAACTCCCTTAATTTACCGGGTGTCTCAATGTACGATTCTGAGAGACTCTCGAAGAACAGCGACATCGAGCTGCAGTCCCTGAGATGCAACTTCTCTAACCTTGCAACGTCGAAGGTGTGGGAGAACTGATATGAAGCATCCGGTACCAAGCTCATTGCCTCCATTTTGATAGACGTTAGATTGGAGAATAGGCGACTTTCCGGCGATAGCCAGAGCAGTCCTTGTAATGAGATCGGATCTTCATGTTCGCCTGACAATTCCAGCCTTTCGAGACTCGGGCAGAGGTCGATAAAGCTCTGCAGATCCCGGTAGACATCGTCGACCTTGTCTTCCCTCGTGCACTCTAGAATGAGAGTAATCTCCTCCAGTTCAGGCGTCAGCGATGCAACCCTCGCGCGGGATTCCTGGGAAACAATATGTGTGGCACGCGTCGAGCCAAGGCAGAGAGATGGAGTTACTGCATAGATTTTCTCGAGCTTGGTCTGCGATCGCAACAATTGCAAGAAAACCTCATGCTGCATGTCGCCGCCATAGGCCTGGAAAATGCGGAGTTTATCGCGTGGAAGTGCCAAGATCAACGACTCGAGACGGTCATCCGAATCCTCATCCGTAAAGTCCGCAAAGCATAGATTCCGTACATGTGGGAGGATCCCAGAGTTAGGATCTAATAACGTCGTCAAAGAGCGGCCAGGGGAAGAGTCTTGGTGATCACCCAAGCTGAATTCAAGCTTTTCCCATAAGATAGGCGCCATAAGCTCCCGCCATGAGCGGCTGACGAGACATACAGTGCCTTGATCTTTCTTTTGCCGGATCTAATAGATGTATTAGCGCTTTTTGGCTAGCAGAGCGGCAATGCCCGGAACTTACGAAGGCGAAAACATTGACAACCAGCTCAGTTGGCAGATCGGAAAACGTCGCGCTCGCCATGGTGGTGTGGAATCGTGAGCGCGGATTGCTACGATCCTAGGTAGTGAAAGGGGGAAGATTGCGCATCGCGGGTGGACGGCTCAGCATGAACATGGCTCGTGCGACGACGCGTCAATGTGTTGCCCCACCAACCCAACCTTGGAAGGATTCAAGCAGAGAGAGTCGAACCTTACCTGGAGCTCATATGGCACGCGGATCCTGCGAAGGTGTTGTAATCGCAACACTGACTACTATAACATACCGGGTGGAAGAGCAACGTAGAATCGAAGTCGAGAGTGTGCCCAGGTGTGGACCAGGAAGTGAGGCCACAGCGCCAAGGCGCTAATGCGGTGAGAGGCAAGAGCGAGATTGTTGAACACACAACGGCTAGAGTTCGAGGTAGTAGCATAGCGATATCGAAAGCCATGTGTTGAAACATACATATATGTGCGGCAAACGCGATTACGTGAAGCGGTGGTGCCATGGTGTCGCTGAACGTCCAAACGTTTGCTCGCTCCTTGCCATACTACCCTCAGCTGCCCACATACCCGACTCCCACACCAAACGCGTCTTCAACTTCCCCCGTATCCGCGACTCACCATATTCACCCATCAGATACTCGACCCCGCCATACGCATCACAAGCGACTCTTTATCATCCTGCGGATATCTATCCACATGCACCGCCATCACCTCCCTCTTCCCGCTCGCGTCACAAACATACCCTTTACTGAACAGATACGCAGGCCATAGACACTCATCGAAGAGCTGGTAGGTGATACTAGGTCGAGTGTCGAAAAAGATGGGGGCGGTACCGCGTTTCGCCATGAAGCGCATGATCTCCGTTGCGAAGTTCTGGTACAGGACGCGAGCTAGTCGGTGTTCTGAAGCGCTGAGCGAGTCGGTTTTGTGTGCTATTTCGATCTCTCCGAAATTTGGGAGGTTCAACATGCGGAGGGTGTGAAGCGGGGTGTGCTGGGCGAGTACGGCCTGATAAGATTATTGTTAGCTGGATGTATGGACACGGATATTGAGTGAGTGATTCTGTGACTTACGAGCATGGCTTCGAACTCAGTCTCTACATGTGTGAGACAGTTTTGGGGTCTTCCTAGTCTTAAGTCATGAGCTAGATCGATAAGGGAACCTAGGTTCACTGCAGGGAAATCAATGGCGACGTCTGCGAGCTCTGTGCAAGCGTCTAGAATCGCTTTGACGTCTTCCACTGCATATGAGCGCCCTGCCTTGTCCTCATCCGTACCCAGTTGCAGTAAAGTCAGCTTATTAGACTGGGCAATGATAGCGTTGTTGTTTATCAAGGCGTGGCGTGATACGTCCACGATGAGCTTTTCAAGCTTCGGACCAGTCTCGAGGAAGTGTTGGACAGCCTGGATGTCGTTGGCGGGATGGAGTGAATTAGAAGGGAAGAAGATCTCCAACTCAGAGAAATCGGAAAGATAGCTGCCGTCACTGTTGGCGCGTTGTAACAGGAGGCCACCCAAGAATGGGGCCATGTCATTGCAGCCAATTAGTGACAACGTGCGAAGGTTCGCAAAGCTGATGTTACTGAAAATCGCCTTGTGGCTCATTCCAAGGTCAATAAGCTTCAGACGGAGGGAAGTGAGACTTGTTAGAATGGGCTCTTTTATGTCATGCTGTAGGATGTGATGCATGTCCAGGCGGTCGAGTGGACGATTCTCAAAGAGCGTGCCCTCTATGGACAAGGTCTGCAGCTTGGGAACGTATGTGAGAAGTTTGCGGTAGTACTCAAAAGAGCTTTTCGCTAGTTTCGGATAGCAATGAACATATACAGCTAGTCCAGTGAGGTCATTTAGTGGAGGTTCCATCAAAGGACCAGTTGTGCGGATAGGAAGAGGCCCCTTGCCCGCGAAGGCCTCGTCGGGCCTGATGCGGAAGTTCAATTCTTTGAGCTTCCGCTGGGATTTGAGAAGCATATGGATAGTATGGCGGCTCGGTCTCAACTTGGTGGCCATGAAGTGCGTGATTCGGTCGCGAGGTAGGGACGTTAAAAGTAGACGTAATTTGTGCTCGATTTGGTCCATTTCAAACGAATCGCCCGCGACTCGTCGGGGTGTTGCTATAACAATTCGTCGAATATGAGGGAGTATCAAGCTTTGCGAATTGACAAGTGCTTTCATGGACTGAGATTTGCTTAGCAGAAGATCGGTGTTCAACGTGTACCACATCAGCGGCGCAATATTAACGCGCCATTTGTGGCAAACGAGAGAAATGGCTTGCATGTCCTCTTTTCGTCGGATCTCATCAAAGATCATGCTGAGCAGCTCTGTTGGAAGGGCGGAGAAACTCATCTTAGCGGAAGCTGCGTGGAGTTGAGTCGAGAATATCTCGTGTGGGTGGAAGTTGATAGTGAGACTGAAGGGACTTGATAAGCATGGCCAGCGGTGTCGACGCGCAGTGAACAGGAGTTGCCGCTAAGGCAGTCATAGTCCTGGTTTCACAGACGTGCTTGCTGCATTCAATTCACTGAGTCGAAGAAGCCTGACTGCATCACTCGACCCAAGAGGTATGCGCCACATTCGACGACGACGCAGGCTTGCCTCTTGTTCGCAACATGATACCGTCTTAGACTCGATGCGGCGCGACACGAGTATTCGCCCCAGAAAGGTCGTAGTCGGTGTAGTGGCAATATTCCAAGAGCGAGGTTCGGCCGGTGTACGTCAGTGACAGTGGCAGGTACGACCAAAAGGGCTTGGGATGACTGCCACTCGATAGGCATTGTCGCATATTCAGTGTAGAGCGTAAATAGGCAGCCAGTCAGGGTGCAGAGCGGCGGTGGTAGGGGTTCGGATGGTGCAGCGACATGGGTGTGGTGAGCAGTGGTGCGTCGGCTGATCTAAGAATAGACGGACGATGCTGGGGTACCGCTCAGCTGGCATAACTGACCAAAATGCCCCGAAGCAGGCAGGCACGACCCGCCATAGCACCTGAACGACCGCAAATTACCACCCGCTGGACCCTCGACGACGCGACTCCATAGCGCGCTGCCACGGCAAACGACGTAATCGCCCTCTCGCGACTGCCCTGACCGAGCGACGGCGCTGGGCGCATCGCATCCTATCGTTGGACCTCTTCGCGCTGCACTCGCCGGCTCCGCTGCGACAGCAGGCGCTGCTGAGGACTCCCCTTGGGGCCAGAAGAAGCAAACCTCGGGACTGGCTCTATATCCATGGCCTGCTATTGGCATTAGCGCGGCCGCGAATCATCTCGACGCCCTCATGGCATGCTGACGGGCCGAGGAAGCAGCAGAGCGCGTTACACTGTGGAGAACCATGCAGGTCGACTTTGGCGACGAGGGAGAGACGGAGCACAGCCTGCACCTGACAGCCAACGCCCACCAGCACTACGAACACGCGGGGCCTGGCAGCGGGCCGGCCTACTCGCCCTTCCGGCATCCAGGCGGCGGTGGTGTAGCAGCAATTGATCCGGGACTGGAGCAGAGCACAGGTGCCAGCCGCAATGTGCACACGCCCATTCCCCAGTCCAGTCACCTACTTCAGCCAGACAATGCCCATAACCTCGCCCACGGCTTCTACGCCGACATGCGCAGCTCGCAGACTCCCCCGGCGTCTGCGCATGCCTCGCCGCGCTTCGCTGCCATATCGCCCACCAGCCAGCCGCGCCAGGCATCTGCCCACTACGAGCCCGCCGACCGCGACACGCCCTCGCGCAATGTAGCCGACGACACCATCGACGACGCCTACGCGACCTTCATCCTCTACTGCAACCCCAACTTCCCCACCACCATCGACACGAGCGAACTCGTCAAGCTGTTCCGGACGCCGCCCAAGAGCGACGGCAACGCATTCAACACATGGACCCTCTTCGAGCTGATACGCAAGCTGGACGCCAAAGAAATCAAGACATGGACACAACTGGCGCTGGATCTGGGCGTCAAGCCGCCGAACACGGACGAGGGACAGAGCACGCAGAAGGTGCAGCAGTACTCAGTCAGACTAAAGGTAAGAGCCTCCAATTCATTCACACCTCTTATATCCGGCAATCGCCGAGTCATTTTCTACACATTTTCCGAGTTCTGGCCCAGTGGGCTCCAACAACGTCTCATGCATGTCATCCGGGTCGTGCGGCGCAGTCGACTTCAGCCTCAAACGCCTCATTGTGATCCGAACCACCTACTTGGTATCCGGCGCAGTGTGCGAACCGAGCCACCCACTATGTGAGATATCTGAGATGTACTGTTCCTCACGACTTGGTCATGAATGGGGCCTCTGCAGGTCAGAGGGGCAGCGCATTCCGACCTGGCCCCCAATCACTTGTCGTTTCATACATCATTCCGACCTTTGCTAATCATCACAGCGATGGATGCGCGCCATGCACATCGACGCCTTCTTCGAGTATCTGCTGGGCAAGCAGCACCCCTACTTCCTGCAAATACCTCCTCCTCACAATCCCTTTCCGGCTGACGGGCGGGATGGCGTACCTTTGGAGGAGGATCTGGCTATTCGCGCTCTCGATCCCAAGTTTAAACCGAAGCGCGGGCGGCGGAAAGCTGATGACGGAGAGGACGACATCGACTTTGACGAAGGCACACCGGCTCGTAAGCGCCCACAGTTGGATACGTCCATACCGTTTGGCAACGTGCTGCAGCCCCAATCAGCGTACCCCACTAGCGCCCATCCTCACAACATGCACGGAGGCTTCCTCACACCTCAAGAAGCGTGGACTGCAGTCTCAACCGTCACACCCTCTTCGGCCTTAACAGCAGCTTCAGCACCAAGTCGTTTAGGCCAAAGCCTGACACCATATACCGATTCGCCAATGTCTGGACAACACATACGATGGCGACTGAATCCTCACGACACGCCTCAAACCCCTCATCCACTTTCCGCGGTAACACCACAATCCGCATACCCCTTCTTCGATGAGCCCCAGTCTGCTGTCACGCCTTCCAGTGCGAGATCACGCTCTCGCCGACGTCACGGCCCCGCTGTATCGTCGGCATGGTCGACCAACAACACCTCGTCTACCGGCAAGCTTCGTGGCCGGCCGCCGAGCAATCGATCATTTCGAGATGGACCGTACAACACGTTTCCGGCCAATCCGAAGACAAAAGAAGGCCCACCAATTGACCGCACCCCAGGCAATCTGACACCGATAGTTGAGCGGGCGCACTCTGACCCTCCCGCACCCGAGAACTCCTTCCGCTTTCCGCCAACACCGGCGTCTGCCATATCGCCTTCCAAGATGGAAGGCCAGCTTATGGGTGGGGCGCCCCAGAAGCAGCGACTGAGTCTCCAGGTCCCTCCAAATGTCGGTAACCCAGTAGTACGATTAGTCACACCAACAGTCCTCGTCAACGGAGAACAGAACGACTCCCCAGGCACGGGCCTAGGGCCTTCCCCAATAAGCGCCGCCTCAACGCAGGTGTCCCCCGCACATGGCTACGAGCAACAAAGCATGTACCAAAAACAAGACAACAGGCCAACTCATCAGACCTACCACGGCGCGCTCACGCCATCTGAAACACCCGCTCAGCATCGTCCACCTCCCCCAATCCGCTCGCAGACTTCACCAGACCTCTCAACTTCCTCCTCATCTCTCCCTTCAATCCCTCTCGAAACACTCAACCGCGCCTTAGCCGCCGAGCTCATCCGTGCCCCGCTAACCGGCCGCCGGAAGCGCTTAAGAGGCAACGAAGCAAAAACCCTGGCCACTGCTATCCTCCAACCACTCTACTCAAAACCAACATCGGGACTACCGTCCTCCCCCGCGAAAGTCATGTCCGACCAAGCCCTCGGCATAGCAATCAGCAGCTGTCTGGGTCTCACAAGCGCAGTCGGCATCGGTATCGGCGGCCCCACAGGCGGCGTCCGTCGCGTCGAGTGCATACGCTTCCGCATTGGAGGCGATGGCTATGAAAGTCCCATCGACGACGACGAAGACGATGGCGACAACACCGGAGACAACCTACGGTCTCACCCTGGTAACTCTGGTAGTCGTATCAAAGAGACCTTTGACGTTTTCTTCGCTGTGAACTTTGGTGGGTTGACTGGGGAGTGGGTTGCCAAGGGTTTGGAAATACGGAATGAGAACAGTGAAGACGGAAGTGCAGAGCGCAGAGGAGATGGCGAAGCCGCATTAGATCGAGAAGGTGGCAGTGGAGCGCACATGACGCCCGCGGCCTGGAAAGCCAAATTCCTAGATATGCAACGACGGTTGTGGGAGAGGGAGGAAGAAGTCAAGACCCTTAAAGATCGCATTCTTGAGGCCGTGCTGTAGAGGATTCTACTCACCATCATGAAAAAGGAAAGAGGAGGACAGTTTCGTTTCGTTTCAAGCGGATAGGTAAAATCATAGGGTGGGGTTGATGTTGATGTTCTCATTTAATGTTTGTGTATATTGGGCGTATATTGGATGGGAAGGTTAGGTTGGGAAAGGTTGGGAGGTTGGATCTGCTATATACCCCAGTTTGCTGTTTGGTATTCTTACTCTTGGGATTGGGATTGGGATTGGGATTTGTTAGGGATGGGGATGGGGATGGGGATGATAGGGGAAGGGTGTGGATGGATATATGGAAGGGGAAAATCTTGGATGTAGGTAGCATAGCGTGTAGGTCGTTTTCTGGACTAAATGCATAGTATCGTTGTATCTTGATCACATGTACTCCGAAGCCCGCCTAAAGTCATTTGTCCAAGTGTATCGTTTCTTGATTCTCGGTAGCTACAGCATAGACACGCCCTCAATAACCATTCCTTCTGTACCCCTTCCGTTCGCATCTTTTGTTGTCAGGAAATCTACTCTATAAGGCTTTGTAGAGTAGATTTGCTAATAACAAAAGACACCGTACCATCAAACCAAATCCATATTTTCAAACTTCTCCACGAGCATACATGGCCTCTCCTGCTCCCCAAAGTTGTCCAAATGCTCGTATGTAGTCGCCACGCTGTCATCTGCCAAACTCAGAACTTCCTGCTCCTCCACTTTCATCTCACTGTCATACGCCAACCCCAGGACTTCCTGCTCCTCAATCTCCATCTCACTGTCATCTTCCAAACCCAGCACTTCCTGCTCCTCCACCTTCATTTCGTTCTTACGCACCAACTTCCTCATCTCCTTCTTCATCTCCTTCTCCATCTTCCTGATCTCCCTCTCTGCCTTATCCTTAATCCTCCTCGCCTTGGCCTTCTCCTTCCTCTCCTTCCTTCTCTGATTAATAGCCTGCCTGGCCTGAACCCTCAGATCACGACTCAGCTCTCTTCGCGGCAAAACCTTAACATCCTTGAACGCAGCAGACAGCCATCCGCCCACGAAGTCTTCTCCCGCACCTCCCGTGACAAGTTCCGCGTCCAGTCTCACCGGCGGGAAACTAACGCTCCGATCGAGTAACTCAGCCGGATATTCAGCCAGCGCAAGCTTCTTGAACCGCTGCGAGGTATGACGTATGCGTTGGTGAGGCTCTATCCTGGAGAGAGGAGGCAACCAGTGAAACTCCACTTCCACGCTCTTCTCGGCTAGTTGTTTGGTGAGATGGGGTATATCGTCTACAAGCCATCTATCCCTCACCAACCCGAACGGATGGCCCATCCTCATACTCTTCAGAACGCGTTGCACATCTGAGAAGACCAGTATGCGATCGATGTGCTCGGTTATTGATGGGGTTGCTGCGATGCGGAGGGCTTCGCCGATAGATAAGAGGATGGCTTCGTTTGCGTTGGTATAGTGTGCAATGGTGACTTGGGCGGTCCAGGCGGAGGTTACAGGTGAGTTGTAGCCGATTGCGACAGCGCAGGGTTCGTTGCGTAGGTCGCCGCTGACGCTGCTGTTGATCCATAGGACGAGGGTGCGATCGGGAGGCTGGGTGGAGGTTGTGCGCGCAAAGGCTGTGGCTTGGGCTTTGGACTTAATGTGGATTGATGTAGCGTAAGTGTGATTGTCATCGCGTCGAGACTTTGAGGTGAAGTGGTCGAGGAGGTTAGTTTCGAAGTCGGCTGTAGGAGCTGGGGATGTCATCTCAGTGTCCATGGCGCGGAAGTGCTGCAATATGTCGCTTTACTGAGATTTCAGCGGCGGTGTCTGACGAAAGAGTCTTTGCGGAGATTGCGAAGATGGTATGTCGGAAGCTCTGGGAAGGCAGTTACTACTCAAGTAGGCTAGTGATAGAAGCGGAAGGCGCCACTCACACTCGAGGTTATGGCTGGACCCTGTCGTACGATCTTAGTTGCTGTGGGCCTATGGTACTTTGGATAGAACTCCTACGTCACTAGCAGCCAACACTAGAGCATTCAACTTCTATTTGATGTACGCGAGCTGTGAGTGGCTAGATAGCTATTTATTTGTGGATCGTCGCAGAACCACTGGACGAGAAGCAGAGGACCTGAGTAATATCTTCTAGTGAACCGAAAAGACATGGGCTAAGAGCCCGCATAGTATACATTGTGTGCCGGATGTTTACCTCGCGCGTATTCGATGCAATTGCTAAGCTCGTTTGGTATACAATAGCCTTCAACTAAGGGATTTGAGGTCACGGCAGATGCGGGTAGTCTTTGACAACACTGCACAATCGCTACTGCTAACAACTACTTGAACTCTCAATGAACATAGAAGCGTGGACAGATTCATGTACACCACATTCATCATTTTGGCATGCACATTTGAAGTTTTTAGTAGCCTGCGTCACAATGCTGCACAAGGTCTTATCACTCTCGCGCTTCGTGATACGAGCACCTCACAGTGAGTATAGAATCACACCATTATCTGTCAATTCTCTGTTCCTTTCTCGATCGCTTTCTTGTAACAACTAGAGACTCGAATCAGTCCACAATGAAGAATAGTCAAGGAGTCCTCGTGTGTATATGAGTCCTCGTGTGTATATGAGTCCTCGTGTGTATATGAGTCCTCGTGTGTATATGAGTCCTCGTGTGTTTATGAGTCCTCGTGTGTATATGAGTCCTCATGTGTATATGAGTCCTCGTGTGTATATAAATCTGCTATATTTGTCCCCAGAGTTTGTCTGCATAAACACTACATCACGAGAGCCTTTAATAGACAAATCTATACTATATTTACAACATACAAGTCAAACACATCCATCCAATTACCCAACAAGCCTCTCTGATACTTCATACCAGACCTCAGCAGGACTGAAACCCCCTACAACCACAACCACAACCACAACCACAACCACATCCCCAACCAGCCCCCCACCCCACCCCCCAACCATGTGCCAAATGGTCCTAGAAATCTGTCCCCTCTGCAAATTAAGCGGCCCATTGCACAGGCCCTACATGAAGGTGAGTTCTGACCGTACGAAGTGCATATGAGACATATACTGACTTCGTACCTCTATCTCTGCAGGAAAGACACTGGCACGAACCCTGTGCAGCCGCAGCAACAGCGGGCCCTTGTCGCAACCCCCCCGAAGTGAACAGGCAGGGTAACAATGTATGCCGACGCTGCATCAACCTGGCTAAGGAGAAGAACAAGCAAGATGACAAGAAGAAGAAAGATGACGATAAGAAAAAGGACAAGGATAAGAAGGCGCAAGATAAGGTGGACAAGGATAAGAGGATGAAGGCCTGGGCTAAGAGCAATAAGGCGGAGAAAGATGCTATTAAGAGGCTTGGATAGGCGCTGAGCAGTGAGGACTGTGTACAGTCGGATATCTGGACATCGTGCGCGTATGGGATTAGCAGGGGACAGGTGTTATGTAACTAAGGAGCGGTCGGTATTGGTTGTTATTCACGGTATATATTCATTTAGCGGTTTCATGGGCGGGGCGAATACCGGTGGTTGTCAGAACTGTTGTGTATAGTGAATTAGTAATGAGACATACATGTTGAGCGATTGTAGTACCTTTCACACTATACCCGGTCAGGGCAGCAAGGCAACCCCTCAAAGTCAAAAAGCACCGTCACCGAAACACCAAATGTGAGTCTTCATAATCTTCATTGCATGTCATAGCACGTATGCCTTCAGGTCCTGTCCTGTATACCACACCCCCAAGTATTCCCAGCTTTTGACTCCCGCTTCACATCGCCACGATGGAGATCTACAAATACAAAGCGGAGCAAATCAGATAAGATGCCGCCCCGGAAAAACGCAAGAGAGTCGTGCCCATAGGGCTTTGGGGGATGAAAAGACACAAAAGACGCTCGCCGTGCTGAGAACTATGCACAAGTCTGCAGAGATGGATGGAAAGGAAATGCTAGTAAAGCGCGACGCCTTCAAGGCTGAGGTATGAGTTTGGATTAGCAGGTCCTCCCGCCCACTAAGCGGCAGGCTGGGCACCAAACTCAGCGCCGCCGCGACCTCTGGGTGCGCCACGGCCGCGGTAGCCGAAGCCCCGACCGCGTCCGCGTCCACGGCCACGTCCTCGACCACCCCGGTAGCCGTCAACGCTGCCCTGACCAAAGGTCTCCATGTTCTTCTGGCGCTCCTGGCTCCTGAACTCTTGACCACGGGTGGCCGCCTCTTCTCTGTCCTTCAGCTCGCTCGAAATGTTGTCGAAGAAGGAACTCTTGTCGTACATGGATCCACCAGGGATGACGACCTCTTCCTTCTCCGTGGAAGCCTCGCCAGCGGGGACTGCTGGAGCCTCGCCCATCGGCGATCCAGATGCGATGGCTTCCTTGACCAAGTCTTGCTTGTTGAACTTTGCGTTGGACGACTCAAAGTCGAAGTCTGTTGTGGGCACTTCCATCTTGGGGTGTTGAGGGTGAGCACCACCTCGTCCTCCTCTTCCGCCCCGACCACGGAACTCTCCTGTTCCTCGTTGACGAGGTTGGTGCTGGCGGCTTTGCTGTTCGCGCATGCCTTGCACCTGCTGTGCCAAGTTGTTCATCGGGTCCGAGACAGGCGGTTGACCTTGCGGTTGACCTGGTGCCTGACCCTTGTTCTGTAGGTTGAGCTTGGCCATGGCCTCAGCGACAGCAGCGGTTGCTAACTGAGTAGCGTTCTGTTGCTGGGCAGCGGTGGGCATTTGCGCAGGAGCAGCAGAGGGGCCGGCACCTTGCTGTGCTTGAGGCGCCGCCTTCGTCGCCCTTGGGCTTGGGATCGGTACAGCGGGAATGATTCGACCACCCTTAGGTCCGCTAGGCGCACCCTTCGAGGGTGGTTGACCGTTCTGGGGGTGGGGTGGTGCCAACGCAGCCGATACATCTGGCTTCGAGTCGACTGGTGGCGGGGGAGCCTGCTTGCCTGCTGCAGCAGGTGATGCCTTCGCGCCGTTCTTAGGTTGTGGCTTGGATGATGCACCGTCTGCCTCTGCTACCTTTGGTTGCTGAACCTGACCCGGCTTCTCATCCTTGCCTACTTGAGGACCCTGAGGGCCCCGAGGGCCTTGTGGAGGTTGGTTCTGGTTCAAGCCGGGAGGGCCAATGGGCATGTTAGGCGAGAAGGGACCAGGCGGCTGCTGGAAGCCGTGACCAGGAGGGAACCAGCCAGGAGGCGCTCCAAATGGAGGAGGCGGCATGCCAAACGCGCCTGGTGGACCTCCAGGGAAAGGAACTGGGCCACCAGGACCACCAGGGAAACCACCTGGAGGACCGAATCTGTTTCCATATGCACCAGGGCCACCAGGGCCGCCGAACGGAGGGTATCCGCCAGGCGGGAATTGACCTGGCTGAGGAAAGTTCGGCGGTGGTTGTTGACGACCGGCAAGATCTTGTGGACTGCCCTCTTGCCGCGACTGGGGTTGTTGTACCTGTGGCGCATGCGTCGCGTCAGCTTTGGCTTCGTGAAGTATGTAGCAGAAGCAGGTTGTATAAAGGATCTCAGAAGGAAGGCAACGGAAAATATCCACACGGTTTTGCGCTCTCGGTGGTTTAAATGATTTACATCCGAAAATTTTACATCATCGAAAAAGAAAAGAAAGGGCGGTTGTGAAGACTTACTCCGATGATGGCTGGATCCTGCGGCATGGCAGGCTGAGCCTTCTCCTTGACCGGCTCTTCGATGCGCAGATCCTTCACATCGCTGCCCCGGAAGACAATTTGCTCGTATACGACGTCTGACGGCGGGTACTCGTCTTTGCCGCCCTTGCGGCCCTCTGTGCCAAAGGAGCGCACATTGTCTAATGAGACTGTGGAGGCCTCTGAGTTGATCTCGACGAGGGTACCGACATAGCTGGGGCCTGTTAGTCGCGTCGCGCAATGCATTCATGCGATGGAGGACTCACCGGATGTCACTCTTGGAGATGAGAGAAATGCGAGATCTACGCGTCCGACGTCAGCTGGAGCTCCAGCTCGAATTGGAGAGCTGCGACTAACCCGATGAACTCGGACATGGCTGTGTAACGTGGGTATCAAAACGGGTATCGAAGGAATTGAAGCTCAATGAACAAGAAAAGAAGGCGGGAAAGAGGTTGGGAAGGGTGCAAGTGGTTGGTGGAGGAGTGAGGGGTGAGAGAAGGTTGGAGAGCTCCGTGGTCGTGGGCTGAAGCTGCAGAAACTTGGCGCACGTTTAGCGAGGCGTAGTCTGGAAGCTTGGAGCCTCGCTCATCCACCTGGCACCTCGGGCTTCCTTTACCCCACACGTACCACCGTTGCAGTCTTCGTCGGGTTGCAACTGCACCCATGCTTTGTCACCCATGAACTTGTTGACTTTAGACCCTTGAGGTCGTGAATTGTATCACCCTTCCAATCTTCACGTTCTCCTAGGGCCTCAGGTTGCCCAACCCCCCGCAATGAGCGTTACCGACGATGGGCTAAACGACATCTACGAGGCCCTGGATCGCTACAACTGGGACGATGACATCGAGTTCCAGGCTGGTCTGCAGGCCATCATCGGCAGCAACAGCACGCCAGAACAGACGACCGAGCTAGCATTACGGGCGCGATGTTTCTACTATGCGAGGTACGTTCGGGATTCGAGACTTCTACTACTGCATCTATTCCAGCCCAATTGGGACGCGAGAGATGTCTATGTTTCAAGAGCGATATCGATTAACACCCCACAGAAAATACAACAAAAACATCGACTTCAACGCCTACAAAGCCTACCGCAGCGCCCGCAACCGCCCCCCA